TACAGTTTATGCCAATGGAAAGCAGTTTTCCACAATTCATGATTTGAAGGCAGCAATTTCAGATGCTTGGGATAAACTTAAGATTGAATTCCTTCAGAATCTAATTGAAACAATGCCTAATCGAGTATTTAATGTAATTAAGTTAAATGGTGGTTACATTGGCTATTAAATTGTAAGAAAACTTTGCAATTTGAAACCTGTCCAGATAATTATGTAACAGTTTTTTTGTACAAAATTTTAAAAAATATTATTTTCAGTGACAAAATGTTAATGTTTGATTAAAATTCTTATTTTGCAGTGTGGAAACAAGTAAATCCATGTTATTTTTAATAAAACATTTGTCTCTTAATGCAGCAAATTTGGGTTTCACTTTAATTTTTTCGTGTCCGTATAAATTTGAAACACACCTTATATATACATATTTAGTAATACAAACAAAACAAAAAAATTATCACTTTTAATTTATTATAGACAATTTATTCAATTAAGATATAATACGAATATACATACCTTCCACCTCATAAAAACATAATCTGTATTTTTCAGTTCATCGTAATCAAAAATATCTGAATTAAAAGTCTTTGCATATTGATAAAACGATAAGAATTTACTCTGAAATAAATGAAAAAAAATAATAAGTCTACATAAATACACAGAAATATTTAATAATATAAAAATGATTAGTTCACAATGCCAAAATATTGTTAAATTAAAGAAAGAGATAACTACTGTCTATCAGTTAAACAGCATCATATTAATGTTTCATTTTTTAAAATTTATCCTAATGTTCCAAAGTTTTGTTCTTTTCTTTGCCTGAAGATGACATTGATAATATGTTGAAAATGCTTGCGATAATGTTATAATAAAAACTGTTTGATGCTGATAGACAGTAGTTATCTCTCTTTAATAATAATTACTTCCAAATCTTTATCACAGATGTCCAAAACCTTCAGAATCTGAAATCTGCACAAAGGATTTATAAAAGTTTTAAGTTTATTAAACTTTTATCTTAATTATTTACTATTTACAAAAGATACATATAAATTTGGTTAGATAATTTGATAGATAGCATTAAATTGCTTTGATATTTACATTTGAAGCTTTATGACAATCTTGATCTTTCATGTTTATTTACTCTTCATCAACATGCTACAGACATTTACATGTTACACAAGTCAATGAATAGACTTGCTGAAAGCAAATCTAAATGTCTGATTCTTTTTTTTAATTTTGCTGTCAATTTCAGGAATGTTATTCTTTCCCCCATCATACCAAGGAATTGTTCAAGTAATTTATCACTAAGGCCTAGATTTTTATGTAAATTCATATTTATCCAACAAACAATATTCCTTGTAAAAAGCAGAAAAAATTTTGGAAATCCTAAGACCCTTAATTTATGAGATATAAATGCATATTTAAAATGATACAGCATACTTGTACATTTTGGCTTATTTAGTGAAACTTGCAAAAATCTGCTCTATTTTATTATTTCTATTGATATATAGTCTGAAACATGTCTGACTGGCATATTCAACTTCAATCAAATTACCCTCATCTAATCGCATTGCTAATTATCACTGTTCTAATGGAAGTGGACAAGCTTCAGGAATCCCAACTTCAATGGTGACCAGATTTGTAGTAACATCTACCACAAGGTTGGCCAACAGTTTTTGCCCCCATGCCAAATTGGAAAGAAAACTTTTTTCACAGGCCGAACCAGAGGCTGCCCTAAGAAGATTTTGAGGTGGTGTGAGATCTCATTGTGGTGTCACCCTGTAGAGACTGAATTGTAGATAGAGATTACAGATACATTTTTCACATTATTATGCTTTATCAACATTCTACGCTGTACTTACAAGATTTGTAATGGAGGGTTAACACTAAACATACAGTGAGTTGTTGACTTTTTTTTAGGCTTAAGAATTTTTCATCGAGCTGTTCAGACTTGAGTAGCTAATATTGAAAGATTGGTTGTGGACCACATAAATTCATTACACAGGCCAGATCCAGCCTGCATGTTGGCCATGCCTGATCTACCACAAAAACTGAAAAATTTGACAGTTTCATGTTTTCATGTGAAGAGTCACCATAAAAATGTGCATAATGTAAAATCTACTGGTTGTCTTGACTTGAAATTTAATAGGCAGATTTAAAACAAATTACTATTATTCAAAACTATTTAAATTTGTAATTAAACTATTAAAATGAAGACATCTATAGATGCCAGTAGTAATGGTCAAAATTCAACTGGTCAGTTGAGTAAAATGCCAATAGTGAAAAGCAACTTATAAACAAAAATGCAGATAATATGCTGAAAAATTCAACAAGATTTTTGTGGTGGTTCAGTTCTCCTATGCTAACTGTGCAACAACTTGTTTGTTATGAGAAGAGGTTATAGATTATACAACTGGAAACATTAACACACATTTCTGCAGTAGCCTGCTCTGAAAGAAAACAAAAAACAATGTCTACTGAGCTTGAACCAAGGAGGAAAATGAACAGTCTTCAATCAACAGTCTATGTTGCATTGCCACAAAAATCTTACACAAAATTTCCAGCAAAATACCCAAATTACTATGTTGAATTTGGGTGTTTTGCTGGAAATTTTGTGTTTAGGTGAATCTACATATAAAAATTATATTTAAACAGAACTCATCTTTCTCATTCCATACAAAAAAATCTAGCAACGAGTTGCATAACTTTCATGGATTTTATGAAATTTTATTTTAAAAATAACATATTATAAACCAAAATAAATAACTAAGATCATATGTGGCGTCATCTGTTATGTGATTTTGTTATAAAAACTTTATATATTTTTAATTATTATAAAATAGCAAAAGACATAATTTTGAGGGTAGAGATGAGTTTTATAAAACATTGTAAATGCTAACAAGTAAAATCTTCATTAAATCCAACCCCTTGTGAGATATGACATGGGACCAGTTTCTATTTCTCCATCCCTTGACCTTTTACACCAAAATTTAATAGCATCAATGTACCTTATATACAAGCTACTATGCCAAATTTCATTTCTTTATCTTCATCCTGTTCTGAGATATTAAATGAAATAGACACCAACACATACACAGTCCATCTACGGAATCTTTTTGCTTTTTTTTTTTTTTTTGCTTTTTTGGGTTCAGGGGTCTCAAAACAGAGATTTGCAAAACATTCAGAGGGTCAAATTTGACATGATTCAATTACTTTCCGTTGTTATGTATACATAAGTTGTGAAAGTAATACCACACACAACACTAAATCTGGCACATTTCCCATGTCTATACTAATGCCAACTGATTGCAATTAACATTCATTGTAGAATTGGTGTACAGTAGAGCGTCATTTATCCGAAAGTCAGTTAATCGAAAGCATTCCAACCGGCAAATTTAAATTTTCACTAGTGCTGTGCCGCTGCAATCTTTGGCTGTATCTTGGTCTACTCCAATATTTTTTTTGTTGATGTGTGTGTTTTAGCTGGCAGCACTGGCATTTTTGTGGTGTTTTTCTGAGGACTGTGTGTCATGCTGAATCAAACGTTTTTGATACTAGATTAACTTCTAAAGTATAATTTTTTTTTTGTTTTTATATTTTTCAATATATTTATTTTGTTTGTAAAAACTAAAGAAATAATTTTTAACAATACAATAGCCACAATTATTATTTTAAAAAGTTTACATTAGGCTTAACATTGACGAAAATTCAATGGGAAGCGACACGAAACGGAGAAAAATTTCAACATGGGATAGGTTAATATATTTTTTCGCATATAATCGGTAATCTGAAAAATAAGTTATCCGAACAACCCCAGTCCCCAATTGATTTGGATAAACGACGCTCTACTGTATTAAGAAACTAAGATATTTTTAGTCCAAAATCAATAAAAAACTAGTTTATTAAAATTTAATTTACTGCTTTATCATTATTGTAGAGAAAAGACAATACTGCGTATTTTACAAGTACAGAAAAAAATATTGCTAAACAGATTTATTCAGCAGAGGTTGTTGTTCAATCAAGAGAAGTTTTACATTAAGTTAATAGGAATTGTGTAAGTAACTATATTTCTTATCATTATGAAGGAATTTATTGTTACATCAATAATCTCTGTACCGAGATTTGACTGTATAAGAATACGGACTACCTACCCAGTGCTTTCTGTCAACTTCTTCATCTGCATCCCATTTTCTTGTTAGAAATGGATACTTTTTGCTTATTATTTCTCCATCAAAAAAAGTCGTTAGAGTTGGATATTCTTCAGTCAAGCCTTTGATTTTCAAATAACCACATAAATATGAATTTTCTTCATCAACATGCTACAGAGAAATAAAATAATAGTATCAAATTTTAAAATAAAATTATTATTATTTTTTTTTAAATAAAATTATTTTCTCCTTAAAAATGACAGGCATATTAAAAGAAGTATCTGACAACAAACAGTATATTGATATTAATTAATATACATTCTCAGTATGTTTGATATGAAAACTAGGGAATATTAGAAATATAGTAGAGTCCCATAAACTCAACTTATGTTAACTGAGAAAGTGATGAGTCACTGAAAATGACAAGTTTTGCAGACTCTTGGATGGATTATTCATAACTCATAATACACTGCTACAAAGTAATTTATTAAAAAAATCATTTAACAATTTTGTTTAACATATAGTGCCATATCAATGATGCTAGTTTAAATAGCAGAATTTTCATGTATGTATTATCTACATACCAATAATAACTATTTATACTTGTAGTTAAATTTTAATTTAAAAAATATTGGCCATTTGGTGGCTACTTTTGATTTAGTGACATTTGTGTCGTGGTGTTTTGAGTGCACCTCAGAATAGGGATAATACAGTGGACTTATGAGTTTAATTCATTCCGTGATGGCACTTCTAACTCAAATTACTCATATGTCAAATTAATTTTCCCCATTGAAATGAATTGAAATGCCATTAATCCATAAGTTAATTAAACTTCACTCTGACACCGGGGATGAAATACTAAATATGGAACCTGTTACCGGTGTAATTTTGCATGAAAAAATCTTCCTTTCACAAATGTTTTCGAGCTTTCCAGATAGCTCTTCTTCAGGTAGAGAAAAAATACCGACGGAACACTTCGAAAAATGGAACGTAGATATTTAAATAAAAAACCGAATCTAAAAATAAAACGCAAATGTTTAAACAAAAAATATGAAACTCGCATAACGAACGATCATTAAGATGGTCATGCGCATTTGTGCGCTGATGTTGCTATTTATAGATCGTTGTTTATGAGGGCCTGCCACGCTATAGAAAGATTAATCTCATCCTTCCAATTTATACATGTAGTCAGGTGGTTAGCCTTACAGATGGATATAGCTTCCTGCCATTTTAGATGTTCCAGGTGAGGCGTAGTGTCGATGATGCCAGCTTTGTCGAACTCCGGTTATATATCGGGATCGGATGCAAAGGTGGTTAGGGCCGTGGTGTACCGCCCATGCCGAAGGTCTGCTTGATGCTCTTGTACTCTGGTGTTTAAAGATCGCTTGGTTGAGCCGATATAGACAAAGCTCTCGTTACATCTATTATCTTTCAGCGGGATAGAGTACACGCCAGGAAGCCTGCTACGAACCGGACTGCCTTTTCCATTTCTGAGGATGACGTAGATTGTTGGGCATCTTCTATAGGCTATTTGTAATTGTTGTTTTCCGGCGATCTCAGCGTATATCGCTTTAACATATGGGTTAAAGGTGACTGGGAGACGTGTACGTTCATCCTGGTCAGTATTGGTCTTCATACGCGTAGTGGGTGTGTATTGTGAGCGTTGATGTCGCTCAATTAGACGGTGTGTTAGACCATGGTAACCGTGCTTGGCTGCTATCCTCTTGATATAATTCAATTCGGTGTTGAGGGCTTGTGTGGTGGACGAGTGGGAAAAGGCCCTTTTAATCAAAGTATTAAATGCTGCAGCCTTGTAGGTGAATGGGTCAGATGAACCTACC